CTATAGAACCGTCAGTCACAATGCTCAGTGGCTGGGCATCCTCCGATTCTGGTCGCAGGATAAAGGTGTTGCTCCTGGAGGCAATTTCATGTCCTTCTCCTCTTCCGGACTCTCCTTTTCCTTTACAGCGCCAAGTGAAGATAGAGTAATTACTGTACAAACAGTTAAGACTGAAGGCACTACACAACAAACTATGAGGTCGAACATAAGCACTAAACACCTCATAGGTCAATTAACTGGGATATCCCATGAAACCATGACCCTGAATTTCAGAACTGAGGAACCAAATCCCATGAGGATTGGTTGGACATAAGCAACATCAGCAGTGACTCTTTTTTCTTCTTCTTCTTCTTCTTCTTTCTCTGTTATAAATATGTCTATCACACAAATTGCCAATTTCAACTTTTTACAGGCATACAACTTACTGAGAGCCCTTAGAATAATCACTTGTGCAACCCTACCCTTCATCAAAGTGATTGCTGCATTAATGTATGCATCATAATAAATCTGATTGAATTGTGGAAGAAATGTCAAAGAACAGCAAACATCTTAGACGACGACTGAGAGTTGTTATTCCTCAGCTATCTACTGTCAGCATCCGTAAGTTGAAATGGACTGGTCCTGGGTATTTGGAATCAGACAATCATATGGCCTCTAGTGCCAAAATGAATAATCGTGGACAATGGATAACTGTCACATTTATTGTTAAAAAGAATATTTCAAGATCTATCCTGAAGTTCAAAGCCATCCATGATAGGATACTTTCCATAAGCCTCTAGGGATGACCAGTTAATAGTATTACACACTAACAAGTAAGTCCAAAGATGAAGCAATTGAAGGTTATCAAATTCTATGGTCTGAAATTGATCAAATGTGCAATCAACATGCATTGAAAATTAGTAGTGATCTTTAAAAACAGAAAGAAAATTAGTAATGATTGGAGAAAGCAGCTTAGAAACACCAAAGGCTCAGTAGTTGGACAACAGTCTTAGTTATAGAAATGATGCCAGAGATAGCACGAAAGAATGGCAAGATTGTGTCCACTTGGCTGGGCCAAGATTCTCAGTAGTTTGGCAGCTAAGGCCTCCCCCACGATATGACCTAACATAGTGTAAACAATTCCATGATGGGATCTACTGTGAACAGCCCAGCAGTTGTGGGAAGATTACTCAGGTCACAGCCCCAGTGTTGTTTCTTCCGCAGTGTGGTATTCTTGATATAAAGAAATAAATGCTACTGGGGTCTTAAAGGCTTAAAGGTAAACAAGCAGCCATCTAGCTCAGAAGCAACAAAGCCCACATGGAAGAAGCACACCAGACTGTGTGATAACAAGGTGTCTATGGAATCAGGCATCAAAGAACAAAAAATCATATCATTTTGAATGAGGGGGAGTGGGGAGTGGGAACCTAAAGCCCATCTGTAGGCAACTGGACATACCCTTATAGAAGGGTCACTGGGACGAGACGATACAGTCAGGGTGCAGCGTAGCAACGATGAACATCCTGTAGTTCCTAAATGCTTCCTCCCCTCCAACCCCCACCCACACAATTATGATCCCAATTCTATCTTATAAATCTGGCTAGACCAGAGGATGTACACTGGTACAGACAGGAACTGGAAACACAGGGAATCCAGGACAGATGATCCCTTCAGGACCACTGATGAGGGTGGTGATACCGGGAGATGGAGGGAGGGGAGGGTAGAAAGGGGGAACTGATTACCTATAACCTCCTCCCTGGGGAATGGACAACAGAAAAGCGGGTGAAGGGAGATGTCAGACAGTAAGATATGAAAAATAATAATAATTTATAAATTATCAAGGGTTCATGAGGGAGGGGGAATGGAGGGGGGCGGGTAAATGAGGAACTGATGCCAAGGGCTTAAGTGGAGAGCAAATGTTTTGAGAATGATGATGGCAACGAATGTACAAATGTGCTTGACACAATTGATGTATGTATGGATTGTGATAAGAGTTGTATGAGCCCCCAATAAAATGATTTTTTTTTAAATAGATGCTGTAGAAAACTGCTTAACTTCTTACTGGATCTGGCTCCTGCATCTGCCTCATCAACCTCTAGTTCTTTGGACTTGGCCCAACAGTCCACCACATTGCCTGCCATCTCTAGAACCCAGCAGCAGCCACAAGCTTGCCTGCTGACCTCCGATTCATCTGCCTCTGACTTCACCAGCCTGCGGTCTTCCTGGTTTGTCTTCCTGATTCCTGCTTGGTCTTCTCACTTCCTGGTTGTCAGCCCCCAGCAACTATGTGAGTTGAGAGAAGCCTCTAGTTTAACATCTGACCCACAGGCTTGAACCAGACTTGACTTACCCAGCTCAACATTTGTGCGTGCCAATTTCTTGATATAAATATATCGACAATCATTTCATTGAATGTATCTTTTTCAACATAGGCAGTGAGTACACACATGCACTTCACCAGATAGAAAACATAAAAATCAAATCAACAATTGTGGAAATATATGATGGAGAATCTCAGTATCATCGATCAGAATAAGGCCAAAGGCCAACTGGGATAGAGTATCAAATGCTCATCTTCAAGTCCAAAATGAAGCCGAGAGATTAAAACAGGTCCCTAAGAGCCAAAAGATGACAGGCTGGATTTAGAGACTATCTCACGGGCATATGTGACACAGGGAACACACATGACCAAACACCAGGCTTCTTGTGGACGACATCAAAGACATCGTACTCGAAGAAAGCAAAATGTCATTAAACAACAAAGTTGTGTCACTTGCATATTGCAGGTTGTTCACGAGCCTTCCTCTAATCCTGATGGCAAGGCCTTCATTCTTCCAGATTACTTGCTCGGTGAACAGATTAAGGATAGTGAAAAGATACAATCTTGATGATATCGTTCCTGATTTTATTTTATACTACACAGTATTTCCTTGCTCAATCTGAACAAATGCCGCTTAGCCCATGTACAAGTTCCACCTGAACACAGTAAAGTGTTCCGGAATTCCCATTCTTCTCAATGTGGTCCTGAGTTTGTTACGATCCATACAGTTGATAGTCTTGGCACAATTAATCCAACACAAATTATTTGTGCCATATTAAACATGTGCTTGGTGTGTATTCATTGTCTCATTTATGCCAGATAGAACTCTCCCATAGGGTTTCCTGTTTGAACTGCCAACACTGTGGTTAGAAGCTGAGTGCTTACCCATTGTGCCACCAAAAAGAACGGTCATAGAGTGTAATTCTGACTCATCATGACCCTTTAGGGAACACTAGAACTGCCCCACCGGGTTTGCAAAATTATTAAACTCCATCGAAGAGGCAGAGTGACTTGTGCATATGAGCCTCGAACTTCTTGGTTAGCACTGAGTCACGGGGATTAAGCTTTCTCAGACAAAACTGTACGCTCTGCTAGATTCCGACTCATTGGAACCAGGTGAGCTTAAAATCCATACCAGTCCTATTTTACCTTTGAGAAAATTGAGCCGCAGAAAAGACTTGCTCAAGGTCATTCAAGGAGTTTGGTATATCAGACTCATACATGGAAGCTTTTCCTATTGCCCCAAATATCCGGAGGGAAACTGAAAAAAGTAGATAAAATCAGGCGAGGGCGGGACAGAATTCAGGATGTTTCCATCAAGTCCCACTTTCGTGGAGCTTGGTCACTGACTCTTGAAAAAGTAAAGTTGGAGAAACCTGGGTCGACCAGATTCGCCCCTGGGCTTGTTCATTTATGGCATTTCTTACCCAAAGATGCAGTGCGCCCTTAAGGATGGGAAGACTGCTATCAAGGGTTCATAAGAAAAACCGGAATGTTTCTATGGGCTTAAACATTTTCAAGGTTAACTCAAGGAGCAAATCCCGCACCGCCCGACACAATCCCCAGAAAAACCTCGGACTTCTTGGGGCTCCCAGCTCCCACTCCCACCCTTTAAGACCATGTAAGTCGAAGCATTATTTTAGAAGCGCTCTCGCCGCCATGGTTGCTGTGATTAGGGACCGGGGACCAAAAGGAAACTGGGCCCTGACCTGAGGAAAGCGCACTAGTCCCCACGCCCGTCCCCTTCGATTCCAGGAATCTCAGTTACGAATTTTAGTTCGAAAACACGCAAAGATAGACTCCTCGGAGTGGGGGGGCGAGGAGGGCGGTTGGGGGGGTGTCTACAGGGGCACAGATGAGGGACAGGGGGACCTCACAGAGAAGAGGTAGCTCCAGCGAGCTGAGATTGCAGCAGAGCGTGCATGCACACCGCGCGCGCGCGCACACACACACACACACACGCATGCACACACACACGCGCGCGCATGCACACCCACACACGCACACACACACACGCACGCCCCTCCCCCGCCGACCTCCACGCCCATTCAGTCGAGCTAGCGGCAGATTCCCGTAGGAGGAATCCCCAGCAGGAAGGCCGCGGTCATGGCGCCAAAGACGGCCACCCTGGGGTGCCTGCAGGCCACCCCGG